ACAGTCTTTGTGTTAATTCACGGCGCAGGCTACTCTGCCCTGTCCTTTGCTCTCGTCGCCAAGGCTATAAAGCGTCTCACGCAGGGCAAAGCAGGCGTCTTGGCCGTGGATTGTCGAGGTCACGGTGAGTGGTGGGTCACGTATGCTGCAGAATACCATGCAAGGCGCACTACCGCGTTGGCGTGACCGCGCTTCGTGACGGCGCTCCGCTCATCGCTACCCGCTTTCTCGTCCAGGTCGAACCAGCATGGACTTCGACGCATCACCTGCACACAGTATGCCGACCAGCGGCCAAACGCTCGACATGTCCTTGAACACGATCGCACTTGATCTTGCGAGAGTGATTGGCTCCCTCTTCCAGACTCCCCAGGGCACCCCAGGTCTCGTCCTGGTCGGTCACTCCATGGGAGGTAGTGTAGCCGTAGAGGTAGCTTCCCTTCTCACGCGAACATCACCACCACACGCTGCTGATGGCTCCTCCCCGTCAACATCTTACATCTTGCCTGCAAGCAAGATTCAAGGAGTAGCAGTGCTGGACGTGGTAGAAGGCACAGCCATCGCTGCTCTGGACTCTATGAAGCACATAATTCTCTCCTACCCAAGCGGATTCGATTCGGTGGAGGACGCAATCAGGTGGCACGTGGAGAGTGGAACGGTCATCAATCCAGACAGCGCAAGACGAAGCGTACCCAGCTTGTTGAAGAAGAATGGTGGCGTCGCCGACAGCGCAGTGCCGAGTCAGATGACCGGCATCGCGGAGGATGACGAGGAACAACAAGAAGAAGCCGTCGAAGAGCTGTCCGAGTCGGCCGAGCCTGAGCTGCAGCCGGATGGCACTTCGCTTACGCCAGCGACCACCTCACCCAGCTCCAAGACCTCAAGACGCAAGACACGACCGCCCGCTTGGGTCTGGGTGCACGACCTGTTGGCCACGTCACCCTTTTGGTCAGGCTGGTTCACGGGACTCTCATCCAAATTTCTCTCGGTCAGAGCTCCTCGGCTACTGCTATTGGCTGGAACGGACAGGCTGGACAAGGAGTTGATGATTGGTCAGATGCAAGGCAAGTATCAACTGGCCGTGTTCCCTGAAGTAGGTCACAGTCTACAAGAGGTAAGTACTCGGTCTTTACAAGCTCCTGATGATTTCACACGGCACGGCCATCCTTCTTCTGGTCATTGGCGTCAGCACAAGCTCACACTCCCATTCAACCTTACTCTCTCCAGGACGCACCGGAAAGGACTGCTCAGACCCTCGTAGAATTTTGGAAAAAGTCCAATGCACCCCCTCCCATTTCCAGCTTGTCCAAATTCAAACCTGGCGTCCTGCCCGGCGCTGCGCCCGCGACGTTTGTTCCTCCGCCGCCCTTTGGGCGTGGCAGCGCTTCTGGAGGCCAAGTTGGTCCCTCTGCGAAGACGTTTGGACCTGCGCAGCGGTGAATATAGGGATGCGCTTTACAGCTCGTGCACCTCCACCTGCGCGTCACGCTTCTCACGCAAAGATCGCGATCTCTGCAGAGCAATGCGGGCCCGCGGTCGTTAGATTGCTGGTGTCTTGCCGCCATGGCCGCATAGCAGCGGGAAGGAACCACCGATGTAAAGGGGCTCACACGGCCGAGTTTGCGCACCTTGCACCCTGGAATTGTGTCTCGCTTGGACGATTGCAAATCCTCCTCTCTCGTTGGGGGGATGCCCTCACAAATGCGATCACAGGCGTACGCCGTGTTGAACAAAACCGCATTTGCGGCAGGGGCGAGGTACCGGCAGTGGGGTCAGGCGGAAAGATCAAAAGACCTCGGTAGGCTCACAGGCGCGGAGTGGTGTATATTGGATCCTCGTCAAATTACGTGAACGGCAACGACGACCGAACTTCTCCACGGGACAATACTAACGCGGACGTCGGCATGACTTTCAGCCAGGCAGGATGACACCCCAGGCAGGCACATTGCGAAGACGGTGCGCCGAACCTCTCCGGCCCCGCCCACTGGCTCTTTGAATTTTCTCTTCGAGCAGACAACAATTGATGTGATGCCACTGGTCGAGCGCGCGGTTGCTGATACGCCAGAGGGCGTCCAGAAGACGGGCCGCATTGGATTCGGGCCGTTCCCTATGTACAGACGGTTTCGTACCTTGCGCCGTTTGACGAGTCAGGAAGGTCGTTGCCGGCTCAGACACGAAGGCGCAGACAGGAGCAGGGCATGGAGATGGCGGCAGGCGGCGTAGCAGCGTTCGCATGCGCATGCGGTCTTCCTTCAGGCACTTCAGGCAGGGCGCGTAGAGCGATCGAGATCCTATAAAGAAGGCACATTGGGCTCCCTTGTCCTCGCACATCTCTCCTCACCACAAGACCGAAATCTGAACTCCAAAGCGACTCACAGTCAGTACTCAATTATACTCGAAACTCTTGCTGCGCAAGGCTACCAAACACGATCACCGCAAAGAACTGCCAAACGTGAGTCGACCTCGTGCTTCGCACCTGCTGAATGCTCCCTGTAGTCTGACACTTGATAGGCACACCTCAAGTATCCATCAGCATGCAGTTCATCAAAGTGTCTTGCATCGTCGCATCCGTTGCAATCTCTCTTGCCCTCTTGGGCCCTACTGGCACGATTGCAGCCCCAGTGGACCCACAGGTTGTTGACGGCTCGGCTGAGCTGGCCGCCCGCGACAATCTCGTTGCACGTGCCAACACTGCTGGAGGTGAGCATGGTGAGTTGAGTTTGACGGCGTCCTTCTCTCTTTCGGGCTCCCTTCGAGTCTTTGCGGCCGCAAGCGTCGTGCTTGCCGAGCCTGATGCATTGCTCACTTTCCGATGCTTAGAGCTTCGTGCCTGAGATGCTCTCGGCCCAAAGTTGATGGCTCGTGGCGATG